ACACTTCTGGCTGCCTCAGGAAAGACCCGTCAGCTTCTCAGGTGTATCTAAACATCCCCCTCAAACCCCACCCCCGGCAAAAGACCATAGGAGCCTCAGCCTCCCTTTGCTCCAATCCAGAGAATTCCTTATTCTCCCCAAATTCTCTCCATGTCCTCCAAGATAATAAAGCCCCCTTTCCTTTTTCCTTTTGGCTTTTTCAAAAACCTATCAGGTCCAAGTCCCTCATTACCCTAGGCGGGGCTCAAACTTGACAGTCCTGCACTGGTCTCCCAGAGTGCTGGAATTTCAGGCATGCACCACTGCCCTTGACTGGGATGGTCAACTGTACATCAAGAACTAGGTTTTATCTGTAACAGTGTAGAGGGGTTGGAGCCATTCCTTGGATCCCTCTGCTTCCAGGAACAGAACCAAGGCCCTGGACAAACGAGATAAATGCTTCCTACCCATACAAGACAAGCCTGCGTCCCAAGGGAGCAAGAACAAAGAACAGAGCGCCTAAGGAAATGTGGGAAATGTGTCACCCCCGTGCAGTTCCGCAAACTGCGATACAGGGAGCAACCCCGATTCCTGCAGATGCCCGGTCTGTTCTTTTGTTCTTTTGCCTGGGCCTAGAGCTGTGTGTAAAGTTGAGTTTGGTGAATGCCACAAGGAATAGCAGTTTCTTTACACCAAATTAGTTTTGCACACTCCTTAGCTTGCTTTTAGCCCTCACTAAATGTGGGAAGTTTCCGCGGCTCAAGCCCCCCTTAGAGGGCCAGTGAGAGCTCAGCGGACTAGGCACCTGATCCCTAGCACCACATGCGTGCCAGCCCCGCCCCCAGGCTGGGCCGAGCCAGCCAGAGCCCTGCATGCCTCCAATCCCAGTGATGGGGAGGCTGAAAACAGGAGGATTACGGAGTTTGAGCTGTGTAGTGAGAACCTGTAACAACCAAATACGTGAAAGGGGAAAAAAAAAATCAGAGCAGGACTAAGCTCCTAAATCTCCTGCAGCTATAATAATCCACTCTGTCCCATTAGTCTGTTGTTTCTTTTGGCTTCGACTGATTTCATCCAACATCCTACACTAGTTCTTCCTGTACCTTCCAACAAGGAAACCTCCAGATACAGCAGCCTAGATTAAAATTTTACCGAACTGGGCTGGTGAGATGGCTCAGTGGTCTAAAGCACCTACTTAGAACAAGGGACCGAGGTTCAATCCCCCAGCACCACATGCCGGCCGGCCCTGCCCCCTGGTGGGCTGAGCTGGCCACACACACACTAAATTAAAAAAAAAAAAAAAAAAATTAAAAAAAAAAAATTTTACCGAACTGTTAAAATACCTGAAGAAGCCACAGTAAAACTTTTACATATTAATTTTTCAGTCTGATATAACACCCAGAAGCCAAAAAGGAAAACATTAATCAAGTACATCAAAGAGACTTCCTGCAAGTGCTAAACATAACCAAAATCAAAGCCAAAATGAAACAGCAGGAAAAAAACTTATCAGAAAGAACAAGAAAACTTGACGCAGAAGAGATGAGGAAACTTGCTCAAGGCCCCGAGGCGGGGAACCTGCCAAGCGAGCAGCCAACTCAGTGTAAAGGCTAGGGCTGCCCCATTAATCTGCAGTGCTGCAGACCACAAGAGATAGGCAGGCGAGCTCTCCAGCCTTCCTGATCCTTGCTCTGACCTCAGATCGGTTTTCAAGGCACAAACAGGCAAGCACAAGTGCTTGCGTTAAATCCCCGGTTCTGAGAAAGAAAAAAAAAAAAAAAAAAAAATTCTAATTGGTAACACAAAACGGGTGCTCAGAAGCTTCTGCTGTCCAAGCCTGGTACTGCTGTGAGCGTCTATCCATGTCACTAGGATCTAAACTTGACAAAAATTAAGCTTCAGGCGGTCTAAGTGCCTGCCTGGGAAGTGCAAGGACCTGGGTTTAATCCCCAGTCCCACATGCCTTGCCAGACACCAAAACCGAGAATGGTGGCACATGCCTGTCATCACAACACTGGGGAGGCCAAGACAAGGAGTCCAAGCTGTGTATCGAGACCCTGTAACAAAGAAGATCAGAAAGCAGTTACGCCTCAGAACACCAAGCACAGAAATGCACATATAGGTATGAACACGAACACCAAAGTGCGTGCTGCTTGGGCTGGGGACAGGGGTCAGCGGTCAGCCCAGTGCTCACCTACCTAGCATGTCTGAGGCTGTGGGCTTCATCCCAGTGTCACCAAAATACCAAAATGACCAATTTTTTTTTAAAATGGCAAATTTTCCTCAGTAGGGCTGGGGAAGATAGCTCAGTTGAGTAAGTGTTTGCCTGGCAAACACAAGGTCTTGAGTTTGATCCCTGGTACCAAAAAGAAAAAAAATTTCCTCAGTGACTGAGTCAGCAGAGGTCTATCGTCATTCCACACCATCTCCCACGTCATCTGGACTTCAGTTCTACTTAAATCATGGAAAACAAGGTCCAGCTGGTGGCAGAGCACAGGCTTAGCACGCTTGCCCTGGCTTCAATTCCCAACATCACAAAATGCCATTTGGGATGCAAGCTGTAAAACACCAGATGAAGGGTTGGGTCTAACAGTGCACGGCTGTAATCCCAGCACTCAGGAGGGTCACTGTGATTTGGAGGCCAACCCGCATTACACAGTGAGACCCTATCTCAAAAAAAAAAAATTGTAAGGAAGTGTACCTAGAAAGACACTAAGTACTTTGCACTAACAGCCTGCTGGCTGAGCCAGCGCAGTTAGGAACCGGCTGGCCCCAGTACAGGACCAAGTTTGAACGTGCACTTCTTTGCCGGCTGCTGTGCAGACCCAGCGCTCCCTGCCAGTCCGTCTATTCCTGCCAAAGTGTTTTCCTGAAGGCCAGACGCTATTTGGTGGTCCTCATGCCTCACAGCTGTTCATCACCGGACTGAAAGCTGTATACCAAGCAGGGAGAAGCAAACAGGTAGCAGCAACCATAAAGGACCAAGTTTTAATCAGCATCGGGAAGTGACTGCCTGTGTCCAAATCCTGGCTCTACTGCTTTCTGCTGAGCTGGGAGGCTTTAGTTACTGTTTAACCCCTCCATGCTTCAGCTCCATCTTCTACATGAGCTCCTAATCCCATCGTTCAAACACACAGCCAATCACTGCCCATGAACACACACATCTGAAGGGCTGTTAGAGTTAATGCCTACTTTGAAAAATGGCGATTGTCTTTTCCTTTTTTTTTTTGCAGAACCTGGGATTGAACTTAGGCCTTTGCGCTTGCCAGGGAAACACTTATTCCACTGAGCCATCTCCCCGACCCCAAGAACTGTTTTAAAACAAAAAACAAAAACCAAACAACAACAAAATCAAGGGCTAGGAACAAAGCCTAGCTAAAATTTCAGCAATGTACATCCCACCCCCACCCCAACAGAAGGAAATCTTTGACTGTAGGTATGAGAACCCTAACTCTAAATCTGTGGCTTTGTATCAATACCAGTCATCTATATAATATGGTACTTTTCAGTGTAAAAATTCATTTACCTAGAAATTTATTTTGTAGAATTCTCTGTACATGCATGTTAAAAGTTCTAAAGCCACCTTGAATTACTTAATAAAGATTAAACACTCATTTACATATTTTATTTGGAAGTGTTTACACCAGTACAGGGAAACTAAAGTTTAGAGAACATATGTGATTAGTTTAGATATCATCAGTTTATTATAAAAGAGACATGGAAATTATGTACATGATGAAAGACGCAGAACTTCAGTGGAATGGGCAGCGTTGTGTGACGCCACTTCAACAGTGATTTACTTCACTCTACGTATTTTCCAAGAATGTCACCATCTCTAAACAAGAAATAATCCTGCAAGTAGAGAAACCGTTAGTTAAGACAGGCAGCAGCGAATGTTCAACCTCTCTTTAGAATGAGTAAGTGCATATACCTTGTCGTCTAGAACTACTTTGGTGCCTCCATATTCTGGAAGAAGAACTTTATCTCCAACTTTCACACTAACTGGTTGGATCTCTCCACCCTTAATAAAGAAATTTATTGGCAAAAGCATTAGTACATCAATATGTAACTTACATTATAAACCATTACAATTCATGAAACAAGAGCACGCAAATCCAGCATGTTGAAAAAGTACTCCTGAGTGCCAAGAAGGTGGCTGAGTGGAACAAGCACTTCCCTGGCAAGCGCAAGGGCCTGAGGAGTTCAATCCCGGATTCCAAGAGAAAAAAAAAAAAAAGTGCTCATGGGCTGAGGATACAAAACAGTGCAGTGGTGAGGCAATGAGTCTTATTCTAGGTATGAAAAAAATAAAAGAAATGAAAGGAAAGAGAAGGTACTCAGTGGTTAACTGATTATTAATTTGTATTAGAGTTACCATTTCTCATGACAAAAACATCGTCTTAGAAATGCAACTTGAAATAATGAACACATAGTGTTTTAAACTAAAACCTGACTGCAGTGTAAAGAACCAAAAAGTTACACTGGAAAATTATCTTTAGCTAACCAAAGCTAACTCTGTAAATGCTACATTTTAACTAATGGACTCTGAAACGAAGCAATTTTTAAAACCATACGTGAAACAATCATCCCTGGCTTCTTCCCACAAAAACTGAAGATCAATGCAATTACTACCATATTTGACCTGAAAATACAAATGCACAGGTATTCATTTATTATGCATTTTGGCTGACATTTTTAAATAGCCCAACAGGCCTTCCACGGTATCTGGAGAAGTCCCAAGGACACCTGCTCCTGTCATGGTTACACTGCTGAAGCCAAGTCCGGTGCTAAGAGATCTAAAACAACGTTTTAGGGTCAATTATTACAAAGCCCTGCCATTTTAAGCACAATCCTTTTGTCTATTCAAATACATAAAATCTGAGGTAAATGATAGAAGGACTTTGCCACATAGTTACCGAAGGTGATTTTAAGCCTTTGGAAATCTTCACCATCTTAAGCAAACAAGTTAATTTTACAACTATTTTCCTTAAAATGAAACTTTAACCCCACCCAGCCCTTCTCACCTTCCCCTTGGAGCCGGACCCCACAGCGACCACAGTTGCCTGCAGCACTTTGCCTTGAGATTTTTCTGGAAGCATAATGCCTCCTTTGGTGACAGTTTCAGCGGCGCTCCTTTCAACCAACACGCGGTCAAACAGCGGGAGAAACTTCCGAAATGCCTGTCCTGCCTGCGGGGAGAAACGCCGTGAACGACCACTCTGCAATTACATTTTTATCAACCAATGCCACGCGACCGTTACCACAAAACAGGTTTTGGCTTCGCCAAACTCGGATTACGCCTTCGGGGAAGGCGCCTGCGTCTGCAAGACCGATTTCCGTTCCCTCTGTCTGTTACGAGACTCGGCTGCAACCAGACTACGTTTAAGAGCAGCCATAGCTCTACTCAAGGTCAAGCATCAAGATCCTCGAGATGCTGGCAGTCTGAAGGAAACCCCGGGCCACGCTTTCTCCGCCGCGTCGCACCCGGCGCCTGCAGACCGCTGGGACGCGCGCGACCGAGTCCGCATGTGCAACGAGCCCAGCAGGCGGTAGGGAAGGGGCGGCCCGCCGCCACTCCGCTGGGCACAGCGGCCCGGCCACCGAGCGGCTCGCTCCGAGGCCCCCGGCCTGCGCTGGCCGGCCGGCCGGCCTGCACGACTCACCATGGCTCCTGCCCCGCAGCTCGCTGCACCGCCACGCCGCCTCCGCAAAGAGAAACCTACTCTTCTGCCCCTGGACACGTGAAAGGCC